AAAGCATTAGTTTGCCTCCTCATACTAATTCTATTTACAAATACATCCCAATTAGCTATTCGTATATGTTGGTTTACATACTGTACAATTAATAAAAGATAAACATTCTACACAAGAATCACTACAAGGCACACATGTGAAAGTTCTGAATTCATAATATGAATTTGGCTAACATTCTGTTTATGAAAATTTAATAAGATTTGAATCATATGTAGCATTCCATTATAAACAATCATATTGATCAGAGCAATCCAAACAATATGGTTAGCAATAATGTACTACAACGATGTAATCATAGAAGCCACAGTATGAAAAGATTGGATCATTATTTGGGCCAAAACATTCTAAAAACACAGTCAGAGTATTTTGAGAGTGACTGAAATTTTCTATAAATATTTTGTCCATCATTGTACCATCACTTTACTTTGATAGGCTTGAAGCAGATTTTATTAATGGAGGATTAGATTCAATTGTAAATATAAATTGTCCATCTGATGGAAAATAAGGACCATATAATAATGTAAATGCAATTGAAATACTATGATGAGGATCAATGTTTTCATGGGTTCTTGAAAATTTTGCTTAAGCCCATATATATTAACCACCTAAAATTGGATATCCTTACACAAATGAAAAGTATGTATCTGGACCTTTTAAGAAATTTGCTCCATTTTATGAAATCAGATTGTACTAATTATAATAATTAAGATCGAATTATTTCTGCAGTTCTTCTACAAAGGTTTCAGAGTCTATTATAGGATTATTTGAATACATCTAGTTTAATCATTAAAGTCTTAACAATATTATTGAGATTCTAATGTGATTACCTTTTAATAAACTTTAAAATTGCACGTAGAGATGCAAGTACCGTCTTTATATAGATAGTAATTTAATTCACATTTCTTACACTTAAATGATACATCACACTCTAAGCAATATGAAGTACAAATATGAGTGAAAAATTATAGAGATTTAAATCCCCAACCAAATGCTTATTCACTAGTATAAAACTATACATACGTGTAATTTCCTATTGCAGTGAACTAAATCGGTTGAAGCGGAATGTCGAAATACCCATATAAAATATATTCATTTGAGGTCGAATATGTTGAATACTGGTCAAGAGGTTTTATATCTAAATATTTAAATTTATGTAATTAAATTCCTGAATTGTTTCTATAGATTGATCCATAATAAGTTAGGTTAAATTTAAATGATATCCCACAGTCAAGGGGAATATCATTGAAAATATAAAGATTAATCTAAACTCCTACATAATATCCCTTTTTCGATGTAGAAGGTAAATTTACATATTTACTAATTCCAGTTGAATACTTGAAAATGCCATAAAAAAAAACATTTTTATGGTATAATGAAGTTAAAGATTAGTCAATAAACTATGGATCATAAATTATGGTCCACTGTAAAAATGTAGGAAGATACCTCTCAGTAAGGTTTTGTATTGAATCAGAAAAAATTCCAAATGCTATATATTAAAAATGATTTACTTTAGCAAAATTTACAAGATGTTTTGACGCATAATGGTAATATGAAATTACATCTAGGTATAATTACACAGCCTGATGAAAAGTAATGTCCAAATGGACAAGGAGGACAAACACCATTAGTAGCATGTCCATAATAGCAGCTTGAACATTAGTTTTATTTAATTCCAACACAAGTCTTACAAAATGGATCACAAGAATAAGTTAATGATCTAAAATTTCTAATTGAAACTTAACCATTTCCATAATTCAATGATGATATGATTAATTTTTGAGAGATCAAATTTGGCAAAAAAAAGTTGACTTATTTCACATCATATTATAAACCATCACAAAAATGATTGCTCTACCATGAGTCAACTGGTGAAGTATACATGTATGAATAAGTAAAATTTCCGAATTTAAAGTCAACCAAATCATTTGACCATGTACCTTGAAAAAATAAATCAAAGGAAATAAAATCCCCTAATTTATAAGTCCGATAATTATATTCATACCAACAATAAGAATTTGTATTACTACATCTATTATCAACATAATATTCTTTAACTTTAGGATAAGTTGAGTTTAAAGTGATATAGCTTATAGGTGGATTTATGCAAGTTATGAAATTTGCTGTCTAAGAGATGTTGTCATAATTAACAAAATTATTTGAATATAATGTAGCATTGGCACCTTCATATTTTGTAAAAGTGATATTTTAGTATAATAAAGTCACTTAATTGCTCCATTATGATAAAGAATTCTTGATTAAAATGGCTATGATTTATAAGGCAAACATAGAAATAAATTAATAAAGAAAAATATTACTTTTTTTCAGATTTGTACTAATAAATTATATTACATCAACACTCATTTTATAATATCAGAGAAAAATGTACAATTTTTAAATAAATGAAATAGGTTCAAGAGTGTAGATAACAATTTACAAATAAGAAGGTAAGATAAATTATTACTATTTAAATATAAGCTAAACCAAAAATTACAATAAACTAAATAATCTGCTATTATTATTATATATCAATATAATATTTTTTATAAGTTTATTTTTGATTCATGAAAAAATGCAGATGAAAGGCAACCATTACTAATAATTTGATTTTTATGTCATAACCCTTTCATTTAGATTTCTTAATTGGAAAATTTAAGCATATTAATTTAGAAAACTTAGAATTTGGACTTACATTTTGAAGATACAACAATTTTAATGTCTGGTAAGGGGACTTTATTAAAATTATTTTAAGAAAAAAATTTTACATATTTGGTATCACTCTTTATAAATTAAAAAAATATAAATCAATTTAGCATAAGCAACCCGACTATAATTGAAGCTTATCCTATAATATATCCAGAATCTGTTTTGACTTAGTTTCAACTGCTTGAATTATTGTTAGTATTACTTAACAAAAAATTGTTCCAAATAGAATGCATTTAGAGATTTCTGGATTCAATGAATATATATTTGCTATCAAAGGGTAGCAATCCCTTTCTAATAATCCATCAACATATGTAGAAGTGCAAAAACCATTTATTCATGAACAAATATTGTAATTTCAAATATGTCATTGATTTTAAATCATTCCTTCACAAAATCAGGTGTTTATACACAACCATTATTTGTTGCGTTAATAGTATGCCAAGGAGACGATCCTCACAGCTTAGGC